TAATAAAATAAATTAAACGATAATATAATTTCCTATAGCTTAAAAAAGTAGTATAATAAGTTATTAAAGAATATAAACTTTATATATAAAGTAAAGCTAAACGATATAAACTATATAAAGAATTATAACTATTATTAGTACTAGAGAAACTATAGGATTTAATAGCTTTTAACTATATTATAAAGCTACTACCGTTAAAAGAACCTATAACTAATATTAAGTATAATAGTATATTCGTTATTACTAATAGATTAATAAAGTATAAATACTTTTTACTATATAAAGAAGTAAGTAATATAAAAGAGCTAGTATATATATTCCTATGAATAATTATTAGTAATTATAGACTACTAAATAAGATTATCTTTAATAAAGGAAGTATATTTATAGCTAAATTTTAGTAAGCTCTTATAGTATAATTAAGGACGAAATATAAGCTTAGTATAGCTTATTACTTATAAATAGATAGATAAATAGAACGACTTAACTAAACGCTTAAATAATATTTATAATACTATATTAGCTACGAATAAAACAATTAAGTTAAATAGCTATTAATAGCGTAACTAGCTTATAATAGCTTAGTTATAGAAATAACTAAGCTCTTACTAGTATATGCTAATTATAGATATAACTTAGAAGTATTTAAGGTTACTTAATAAGGACTATAAGCGAAACGAGCGATACTATAAGTAGATTAGCTATAAAAATTATATAAAGAAATATAATAAGAACTTTAATTTATTAAAGAACGAATATCTACTTACTATAATCGGAAAAGATTATAGGGACTAATCTTTTAAGAGGGAGATATAGTCTACCTTATATAATAAAATATTAAAATAAAACTACTAAGTAATAAATTAGATTTTAAGAAACTTAGACTATTTAAGGTTAAGAAAACTATTTTAAAAGTTAACTATAAACTTTCGCTATTAATAATAATATAGATATACCTAATATTTTATATCTTATTATTAAAACTAGCGCTACGAAACGCTAAACTATAAGATAAAATCGAAGTTAATAATAATTAAGAATATAAAGCTAAATAAATACTAAATATAAGAAAATAAGGTTAGTAATAAGAATACCTTATTAAGTAGAAGGGATATAGACTAGAGGAAAATACCTAGGAACTACTTAAGTACTTAACCTACTATAGTTCTTTACTTTAATAATTTTACTAGAAGGTTTAAGAGGGATTAAAAGACTAAGATCTATAAACTCCTCGCTAATACTAAATAAGGACTAATTCGCCTTATTAAGAACGCCTAATAATTATAAATTATTTACTACTTAATACTTATATATATCGAGCGTAGGTAAAACGCTATCCTTAGTATTTACTTCTTAGATACTATAACGAAATAACTTAGAACTCTTTTCCTTTATATAATTCTAAATCTTTTAGATATAAGCTAAACGATTAATAGTAATAAATATTTATAACTAAAGGTTTATAAGCTATACCTAAAGCTCTAATAAGGCTTCCCTAGCTTCCTCCTCTTTAAAATATAGCTTATACTACTCCGTTAATAATTTAGTTACTAAAAGAAATATATTAGCTACTATATATAGAAAGAATTAAAAGATACTTATAAAAAGAGGCTACTAAAATACTATTATAATAAGGACGACTACTAGTAATATAATTATTATAGCGTAAAGAATTTTCGGCTATCTAATAATTTATCTTCTTTACTTTAAAGTATTAAGTATACGGTATATTAGTAGGATCTTTACTTAAGTCGATATATTTAATAAGAGTAGCGCGCTTAGAGGCTTTTTAGGAACGATTTTTTAGTATATAACTAGATATACTATTAATAGTATATCCTAAAAAGATAAAGAAATAAAAAACAATATACTTATATATAACGTAATAAGGGTATATTTATATATAGCGGCTAAGGTAGCTATAGTAGGTCTTATAGATAGGACTAAAAGGAGGGGAGATATCGTATTACGACTATAGCTATTAAGCCGCTAACGGTCGACCGCGTTAAGTACGTAATACGGTCTAACGAATAAATAGTTAGCACGACTATTTAATAGATATAGGATCGAGGGGATCGTAGAGATCTAAGTAATCTAAGATTAATAGGATTACTACGCTCTATACGATCTAATATTAGGGATTATAGCTAGGCCTATAATCTAAGGATAGTCTTTATAAGTATATATAGCTACTTACTTTTACTCCTTTGAATAGATAGCTCTTTAGCTTTTAATATAGATCTTTATTATAATTTTATTTCTAATTTTAATTACCTAGTTATAGTCTATAGTCTACGACCTCTAACTTATTACTAATATAATATACTTATTATTATTATTATTAAGATTATACTAGGGACCTAGCTAGAGGTATCTAGAACTTTAATATTAAATAGGAGGGAAAAACTAAAGTACTTAAGGGAAAACCCTCCCCTCTTTTAGTATAGGTCCGCCTCGAACGAGGTCGTAGTAGCATGTCACACATAGGATATCAGCCTCCAACAGTCTGACCCCCTATTCGCACAGTCCGTTTCCACATTTCCCCACAGAAACTTCTAGGAGGCATCATCAACGCATCAGTGGCTTCCAGATGATCCGATCAGATGCTTCCATTCACTACCATTCCTTCCATTCTCATATTCAGGCAGTCTATAAAGATCTCGCCTCTTTCCCACCTTAGATAGCAGAATCAAGAGTCTTCCAGTCCCTGATCTTTATGCCCACTTGCTCATCCTCCGTGCGATAGTTATGAGCCCGGTCTGCCATTGACTGGGTATCTTATTCTCGTTCATTCCGCTGCGCAGAATAGCTTCCACAATGAGCTCAGCTCTAGATCTTGATGGCTCTTCCAAGGGCACCGTGCTCAACGGCCCTTGCGACTGGAAACAATGGATTTCTATCATCAAGAAATTCGCCACGTCCCACAGTCTTTGGGACTTTCTGGACCCTGCCGTCAAGGAGGGTAAGCCGGTTCTTCAGCAGCCAGTTGAACCAACATTCCGACAAATCAACCACGAAGCATCTGATCTCGTGGATCTGACCTCGGAGGAATTTCGCCGTCTCGAATTCCTCCACACCCAATACCGCTCGAAGCTTCAAGGGTATAGGGATCAAGTGAAGGCACTCGCCAGCCTTCAACAACACATCGTCAAGACCATCGGCAACTACTACAGCACCATTGCCGAGGAACACGACGTTGCAAAGCAACTTGCCTTGCTTCAGGCTCGTGTGGCCCCAACCGACTGGGCACTCGAGAGGAAGTTGTTCAGCGTTATCGTTCCACCCTTCAGTCGCCAAACAGGACCAAGATCGAAGCTTGGGTCACCCAATGGCAGAAAGTCCTCACTGAGGCAAAGCAATTAGGGCTTCCTGATGTCCAGGACCTTCGCCCTACCCAAGATTTCCTACAGGCTGTTTCGTCCATCAACGCCCCATTCACAGACTATTGGGTCAACAAATGGAAGACGAGGCCGTATTCGGCAAGCCTGATTGGAAGACCGACTTCCCGGACGGCATTAAGATCAGTGAGATCTTTGAACGAGCTCACCGAATCAAGGCCGCCAACAACAGCAAAGGATCATTCGAGCTGCCTTCCAAGGCAAGGGAGAGAAATCGGAGAGGAAAGAGGACAAGCCTAAGTGGTCTTCAAGCAAGAACGCTGATGGTGTTCCTATGTGTGTCTGCGGAGAATATCACCGCTTCGTAGATTGCTTCTATCTCATCAAATCAGCTCGGCCTGATGGCTGGACTCCTGATCAGAAGGTTGAGAAGAAGATCAAGGAAATCCTCGACTCAATCCATGGGCAAAGAAGATGACGGAGAAAGCAAAGACTTCAAGAAGAAGGAAATGGAGAAATCGTCCGACTCCTCCGTTAAAGGCACAGCGTTTGCCGGTCTTCTACCAGCTCCTGACAACACACCGCCTCCTCAACACCTCCATCAACCAGTTTCTCGACGGGAAAGGCAGTCTACCCGCTGTATGACTCCTTTATCCTTGATTCCGGATCAGACACACACATTTGCAACAACCGATCCCGTTTTCTTGACTACACCGCCCTTGCAGAGCCAGAAGAGCTCTTTGCAGGCGATAGTCAACTTCAGATCCTTGGCTACGGCACAGTCCGTATGAAGCTTGAAGAAGGAGGACTTTTTCAGCTCAACGAAGTTGCCTTCGTGCCAAAATTCCACACCAACATCGCATCCCTCGACCGCTTTCTTGCGAAGGGACAACTGGAATCCACTATCTGGACGCGTCTCTAAAGACGATCAGATTATATTTCATACGAAACGCCGCTTTCGTCAACCGGTCATCGACTTCAACCCGATTAAGGAGGACTCACGCCTCCAACTTCACATCTTCATCTGCACCTCGCGCAGTGAAAACAGCAGATGCTACGCTTTGGCATAAGCGCCTAGGTCACTTGAACGCTCAAGCCCTAGAGCATCTTGTTGAGAACACGACGGGTTCGAAGATCAAAGGCCCAGTTACCATCGATTGCACCGCGTGTTCCCTTGGGAAGGAAAGAAGGTCGTCTCTCGCCGAACCCCTCAAAACCGAGCCCCAGACCATTCTGGAGAATCTACGTTGATATCTTCAGTATGAACACCTCATTCAACGGCAAGGAAGCTGTTCTTCTTATCAAAGATGAATTTACAAGCATGATCTTCATCTACCTTCTGAATGACGCGACACAAGGGTCCGTTATGACTGCTTTGAGAAACCACGAGGCAATGGTTCAACGCCAATGGAATCTCAACATTTGCATTATCCACCGTGATAACGATCGTTCTCTTCAGAGTGCGTATGAGAGCTGGATCGAGGAAAGGGGATTCAAGATGAACCTTCTGCCCCTTACACTCCCGCTCAAAACGGTTCTGCAGAGCGATCTGGGGGGGTAATATCTGCCCAGGCCAGAACAATGGGAATTGATGCCAATTTACCATCTGATCTTTGGCCAGAAACCTGGAAAGCTGCAGTGTTTTTGCACAACAGATCGCCCATGCAGAACCACAGCTTCCGAACGCCTTTCCAGCTGCTTCATCAGTGGCTGCGAGACAACAACAGAGACATAGGCTACCAGCAAGACCAGCCTGACATCACGTTTCTCAAGGCATACGGCTGCAGAGCCTATCCCTTGACACCCCAGGCCCTTCAGAACAGACAGAAGAAGGACCTAAAGACCGACCCTCACACAGAAATCGGTTATCTCGTTGGATATGATTCCACGAACATTTTCAGGATCTGGATTCCGTCCACATCAGAAGTCCGAAGGGTCCGAGATGTGACCTTCAATGAAAGCATCTTCTATGACGGAAATGATCAGCCACCAGAACCTATCCCACAGCGCGTGGAAGTACAGCTTCCAGCCCACATCGAGGACGAGTCGGATTACGAGGAAATCCCCACTCAAATCGATGAACCTGAACCTGACCCCGTTGAGCAATCTCCTCAACCTCAGACCAAGGAGACGCCACCACGATTGTGGTACAACCCGAACCATCTGATCATGAGGACTCGGATGATCAGGATGAGTTTCATGACATTCAGCACCCATATCCGACACCGGACCCCGGTCCGAGTGACTCAGCCACGGCGCTCAGCCCGCTCACCAAAGCTCTGCCAGGCCAGAAATTTGCTACTTTCGTCAAACAACTCGGTCTCGTCGATATCTCTACGTTGCTAGGGATCTAGTTTCTTTCTTCAGTTTGCACTGCCCACTAGCCAGCACAACCTGGGGGGGTATGTCACACATAGGATATCAGCCTCCAACAGTCTGACCCCCTATTCGCACAGTCCGTTTCCACATTTCCCCACAGAAACTTCTAGAGGCATCATCAACGCATCAGTGGCTTCCAGATGATCCGATCAGATGCTTCCATTCACTACCATTCCCTTCCATTCTCATATTCAGGCAGTCTATAAAGATCTCGCCTCTTTCCCACCTTAGATAGCAGAATCAAGAGTCTTCCAGTCCCTGATCTTTATGCCCACTTGCTCATCCTCCGTGCGATATAGCAGTATATAGGAAATTTACGCCGGCTACCGTAAGCTCCTCCCGCGAAATCGCGTCTTAGCGCAGGCCCTCTTAGGCTATAGCCGCTACTATCCCGAGCGGCCGCGGCCCGGGCTCGCTAGCCCGGGCCTAGGGTTATAGGCAGTAGTCTCTCTCTAGGGGCCTAACTTGCGGGCGCCTCTATTTACCCTAGCTCCCGCGTCGTAGCCGCGTAGCCGCGGTTACGTCGGCTTATCGGTCCGTTAGTTAGTAAGGTAGGTAATATCCGGTTACTAGGCCGGGCGCTAGTATAGGTCGCTCCTAGGTAGGGCCGGCTAATCGAAATTCGGTTAGCCGGCTCCGCTAATTATAAATCGGTTCCCGTCTAGCTACGCGATTTCCTAATCGGGGGCGCGGCGGCCTATATTTACCCTCTATCTCGTAGTTACTAATTACGCGCGCCTAGCTCGCGCCTATATATACCTACCCTTCCCCCTTAGTTTTATACGTGCCTCCTCCTATCCCTCTATTATCTATCTCTTTTATAGGCTTAACTACTACCTCGCCTACTTTATTTCTATAACTTTAGGTCTCCTTAATACTATATCTAGTTCGCTCGTCGTCGCGTCGTAATATCTAATTAGGAAGCCGACTTAGGTAGTAGCGGCTCGCCTCCTCTAAAACCCCCTCCTTATAAGAAAGTCGCTATAGTAGCGGGATTAAAGCACTCTATCTTATATTTTACGTATATCGGGCGTCTTACTAGTAAGCTTACTTATAAGTCCTTCGCTAGCTATTAAAACTAGTCTTATATATATTAATCCTAGCTTTATCCTAGGTCGGTCCTACCTTTAGTATTTTTACTAACTTTAATAGCTATAAAGGCTAAAGCGTATATTACTTACGCTAACTCTAACTAGTCTTATTACTAAGTAAGTAACCCCTTCCCGCTATAGTACTATCTAAGTTCGGTGCTAATCTAAGTTCTAGATTACCTTTAAAGGCGAGGAGGCCGCTAGTGCCCTCTACTAAGTATAGTCCGAGGTCGATAGCCCTTCCCTTATTAAGGGTTTAGTATAAGAGCGCCTTTATTATACTACTCTAAAAACTTATATTCGCGCTAGTTAGAAGGCCCCCGCCGCTAAGGGTAAGGGCGCGTTAAGTAAGTCTGCCCCTAGTTTAGCTACGGTCGCTAAGAATATAAAGACGCTTATATTAGCTTTTACCCGTTTTATAGATAATACCCGCTATATATATAAGTCCCTAGAAAAGCACTTAAGTAAGTTTAGCGACGCTATTAAGACCTTAGCCTAAGTCGGGCCTAAGTCGCTCTTAGTCGCTTAAAAGACTCTTACGGCGGTTAACGATCTCGCTAACTATTTTTATCCTATTACTAGCGACGGCCCTAACGTAGAGGATAGCGGCTTTAATCTTACTAGTCTTACTAGGCCTATTCCGGCCCTAATCCCTATTAATAAAGGGAAAGGTAAAGGTAAGGGCAAGGTAGTAGCCGCGTCTAAGGCCCTATCTAAGGCTAAGGCTAAGGTATCTATACCCGCGGCCGTCGCGGAGCCGGCTTAGGAGCTAACCGCGTTTCCCTTTAACGCCGAGCTATAGCCTAGTAGTTCTCTTAGCGCTAAGCCCGCCCTAAAGCGTCCCTATCTTACGTTACCTACTAATCTTACTAACGCTCTTAACTTTATCTAGTAGCGTCTTTATAGCTATCGCGGTTTAGTCCTAGCTAAGATTATTACTAGTCTTAACCTCGATTAGATCTATAGTTATAGTATAGGCTATAGCGAACGCCTCTATACCGCCGCCGGTATAGGTCCTGCCTTAGTATAGACCTTAGTTATTACTTTATCTTATAAGCTAGCCGTCTAGGCTAGCTTTAGTTTAGGTTTAAGGTTAGGTCTATTCGGTCGTTATTAGGGTTCTTATAGCGGTAGTAGTCCCTATACTCCTCGTAAGCCTTAGGTTACTCCCTCCTATACTCCGCGTGCTACCCTAGGGGGGTCTCGTTATTCCCGCCGCGATAATAAGGTAGACGTTACTACCGATAAGCTAAGCTAGGGTCGTAGTTTAAGGGGGGCTATTTATTAGCTCTATCTTAGTTTAGTTCTAGGTTAGGTCTTATTTAGTTATAGTCTTTTAGTAGTAGGTCTTATTCTATAGCTATTAAGGTTAGTTCGGTTAGGTTATATTAGTTTTATTTAGTCTATAGTTTAATTAATAAAGTTTATACTTAGTCTAGGTTTAGTTTAGTCGAAGCTATAGTCCTATAATCGTAAGTTCTCTCCCTTTCTAGGTCGCCCTAGTAAGGGAGGTAGTTAGCTAGGGTAGTCTTAGTTAGGGCCGCTCTATCCCTAGCGCGACCCCGGTTCTATTATCTAGTATATCTATATATAGCCTCTAAGCTAGGTTAAACTAGCGGAGCCTACCTAAGCGGAGGAACTATTACGCTAGCGGCGCTATAGTCCTTTTCCCTTAAAAGCCCGCTCTTACGTTACTTACGTCCTAGGCCTATATTAAGAGGGACTCCCTCGCCTCTACTATTAATAGATAGTTAATTATCGTATAGTAAATAGTATCCTATCTTTATCTATAGGTATATATTAGCGAAACTACGCTAGGGACTTATTAGTTAAAGAGGAAGTCGTTAAGCCCGATCTTTCCTATATATATCTAGGTAATTGCCGTGCTAATATACTTAAGGAGGCCCTTATAACGGTCTAGCGTTTTCGCCTTATCGAACTAAGGCGGGAAGTTAGCGGGGTAGAGGGTAGTCTAGTATTATCGGATCGCGTCTTCCTTAGCATTCTATCGAGCGGCCTATTCCTTATTTAGCCTTTTAAGCGACTTAGCTTTATTTAAGAGGTCGTCTATTCCTATCTAGCTCTAGACCCCCCTTATCTCCTCCGCGAGGGGGGGTCTGCCTAGAGATAGTGCCGCCGGGGGTCTGCCCTTTCTCTAGTATTACTTCTTTTTAAGTATACCCGCGACTACGTTAAACGCGCGTTAGATTTAGCCTAAGAGCCCTAAGTCTTTTAGCCTCTAAAGGGTATCTATTATTCTTTAGTTTAGGTAGAGGTCGATTAAGGGCACCTATGCCTCCGCTTTAACTTAGTAGACTAAGGTCGCGCGGTAGGCACTTATTACTACCTAGAAGTAGGCTAACTAGTCCTAGGTAAGGTCCCGCGCGATTCTATATAGTTTCCCCTCTATAGGCGTTATCTTATAGAATATAACTATAGCGTAGGAGATTAAGGACCGGATTACCTTACTATAGACTTCCTTAGCGTATAGTAGGGTATAGCCCTATATAGACGCCGCGAGCCCGGTTAGGGCTATAGTCTAGCGCTTTAACTTTACTTAGAGTTATTTTAGGTATGCCTTTTAGCGTAGTTTCCGGTATACCTAAACCCCTAGTAGGCGGGCCTCTTAGACCGGGGTTACTATATCGGCCTTAAGGCGGACTAGCGTCGTTATTGCTTATCTCCTTTATATAAAGTATAGTAATTTACTTTTCGATAGTTTAAAAATAACCGCGAACTCGGTCGCCTATTCCGTATATACCCTCTAAGCTTCCTCTAAGCGTGCTACTATAGTAGCCTCGTTAGGTCCGATACTAACTATATTTATATCGTCGGCGAAGCTAACGGTATAAATACTATATATTATACTAAGCCTTTTATATAGGGGGGTTATATAGTATAGAAATAGGATTAGGGATAGGGGGGAGCCCTAGGGGACTCCCGTTAGCACTTAAGTTAGCTCTAAGGTCCTTTTATTAAAGTAAAGGGTTAATCTCCTATCGCTTATAAAGCTTAGTATTAAGCTTATAAGCTACCTAGGGTATCCCTTAAGCTTTAGTTCCCTTATAAGCTTATTATAGTTAACCGTATTAAATACGCTTTTAATATCTAGCTATAAGAATAATATAATGCCCCTCTAAGCCTACGTCGCGCGTACTAGTTTTATTACTAATAGGATCGCCGCCTTTATAAAGCGTTCCCTCTTATTCCTTATTTATCCGTTTAATAGGATGCCGTTCGCCTCCGCTACTCCCGCGATCCTCTAGGCTAGTATCTACTTAAGTACTTTTCCTACTATAGGTAGGAGGGAGATTAGTCTCTAACCCCCTACCGTATAGTAGGCGTCCGGCCTCTTACCTAGCTTCTAAATAACTACTATATTCGCGCTATAGAACCGACCTAGGAAATATAAGAGTTAGGTATAGGCGTTAAAGATCGTAGCTAGTCGCTAGACTAAAGCTAGGCCGTACTTCTTAATAAACCTTAAAAGGACGCTATTTAAACCCGCTGCTTTCTAGCTTACTATCTTACTTAGCGCCCCTACGATATCGGCTAGCTAGATCTATTAGTTAACTATAAGGGTCGCCTTAGCCGTAGGCTAGGGTAGCCCTTAAGTCGTGCCGGCCTTTAGTAGGAAGAACTTAGCGGCTAGTAGCTAGGCCTTCCCTTCGAAGGTTTCTATTAGTTAGTCCTTACCTTCCTTAACTAGCGGTAGGATATAGGTCGGTTCCGGTAATAGCTTATTATAAAGTCTTACCTACCTCTCTATATTCTAGAGCTTAGTATTATTAGCGCTAAATTCCTCTAGGAACTCGCGCTAGTAGGCCCTCCTTACCTCGCGGACGGTTTACTTTTAAGCTATAGACGCCTTATATA